TGTGGAATATAAAGAAATAAAGCAAAGGGACAGGCAACTCCAAGCTAAAACAAGCCCTTGGAATCTGACTGCAGAACCAGGTGGGGGGTGTGGGGGGAGGGGTGAGAGCACAGGAGAGAGCTGGCCTGATGTGCTGTGGTGAAGGATTATTAGTACTTTGGTGGTAGGTGTGGTGTGGTGACATACATTTGAAGAGGTGTGAACCTGTACCCCTAAAATATATACCGTGTTGTAAACCAATGTTACCTCAATAAATGTAGTAAAGAAAAGAAAACAAAACACCCACAGTAACTATAAATGAACGAACAACATAAACAATGCACTTGAAACCGGCAAACCAAATCTCTGTCCCTCCATGTATGGACTGTCTGTATTAGGTGTTGGCATAAGCCCCCCACCCCCACCCCAAGATGAAATCCACTCACTCCGGGCAGAGATGTGTGGGGAGCCTCTGGCTCGCGTGCCTGTACCTCCCTTCCCCCACAGGTCGTGGCGGGACCTTGGCCACAGTATTCTGAAAGTCTTCGGAGAGTGATGTTTTTCTTTCTTTCTTTCTTTTTTGTTTTAAAGATTTATTTATTTATGCATACAGAACTGGGTACAGGCCAGAGGTTCAGGGGTGGTGAGAGGATTCACCAGAGACAGAGTGGGGAGCAGAACAGGCAGATCGATGAAGCACACTGCTGAGGGGAGCAGTGGGCGGTCAGGAGAGGTCTGCCACGCCATGTGGATCTCCTCCCTGGCGTGTGGGGATCAAACTCATGCTGAAGTGGCTTTAGCTTCTTAGTGCTGTGCTTTAACCCACTGTGCCACCAGGGAGGGCCCAAGTGATGTTTTTCTCTACCAAGGTCTGTATTTTATTTTTCAGTGGGAAAGCATCTGATGAAATGATAGTTGTTACTGAGATAAAATTATCTGTAAATTCCATCCACTTGTACCATCCAGTAACTGTTGATGTTACTGGACGTTCATTTTTGTGGTTCTCAGTAAACCTGTAACGTTCTGAGCTATTGGGTTTTGAGACTTTTTTTCAGCCTGTGTTGAGGGTCTGCTTTGTTGGGCCTCCTAGGATAGCTCCAGATGCACAGGTGGATGAGCACCCTTGCGCCCTCTCAAGGTGCCATGTCCTCACCCAAGGATGTTTCCGAACACTTGAGTAAAAGTCAGCCGAGATCAAATAGTTCTCATCTTTGGCCTAAAAATAAGATTGTGAATCCATTTCCCAGTCTTTAGAGAAGCCCCTGTGATGATTTACCAAAGATACAAACCACTTCCCTTGTCAGAACGTCACGCATTGAAGATGAAGCTGTCTGTAAATAAGCAGAAGAGAACATGTGTATCGGGGCAGAGGTGCAGCTGCAGCATGAGCGGAGCAACATTAGCTGGCTGGATGAACACAGGGGGAAAGGACGAGGGGTCGGCTGGATCAGGCGAGGCGTAGCTGATAGGGGCTGTGAAGAATCTTGTCATGTAGGAAGAAAAGCACTATGGGAAGATTTTTTTCTGAATTGGTGTTTAAATCATCACATGATAATATCAGTAAGTCATTTCATGTGTACATAATTCTTAGTAAGTAAAGTAAAAATGACTGTACTATTCAGGGTATCTTATTTTACTTGTTTGTCAAAGAGTAGGCAAAATTTTCTCCCTAGCTTGACTTTTTTTGCACATGTTTGTTTATTTATTTTTAAAGATTTATTTATTTCTGCATACAGAACTGGGGTATAGGCCAGAGGTGCAGGGAGTGAGAGGATTCACCAGAGACAGAGTGGAGAGCAGAACAGGTAGATGGACAGAAATACCCTGCTGAAGGGAGCAGTGGGTGGGTCAGGCAAAGTCTGCCTCATCATGTGGGTCAGCTCCCTGGCCGGGGATCGAACTTGTGCTGCAGTGGCTGCAATAGCTTCCTGGTGCAGTGCTTTGACCTGTTGCACCACCAGCGAGGGCCTAAACAGGTTTTTTTAAATTGAGGTAATGTTGACTTCCAGCACTGCATGAACGGCAGAGGTGCATCAGGTTCACTTGTCTTCAGATGTATGTTGCCACACTGTTTCCCAGGTTTAGCAAAGCATTTTATGTCGTGAAATTGAATATTCAAATAAGTTGGTCAGCAGCAATTCTTCAAATGGCACTTCATAAAGTAGCAATAAAAAAGTGTTCTTATTTAGAAATGTAAAATATATTCTGATAAATCCTAAAACCTCAGCCTTCCACTCCCTGGTAAAAGCCAAGAAATTATGGGGCTCTCCCTGGTGGTGCAACAGGTTAAAGCACCGCATTATGAAGCTCTCTGAAGCCACTGCAGCATGCATTCAATCCCCCGCCAGGGAGCTGACCCACAGGGCGTGGCAGACCTCTCCTCACCCATCCACTGCTCCCCTCAGCAGTGTACTTTGTCAGTCTGTCCGTTCTGCTCCCCGCTCTGTCTCTGGTGGCACCTCTCACCCTCCACATCTCTGGCCTGTACCCCAGTTCTGTAAGCATAAATAAATAAATCTTAAAAAAAAAAAACACTAAAATTACAATTTAAGCACAAATATACAATCGTATAGGGATTTTGCAGTAAAAAAAAAAAAAGCAGGATAAGGTAAATCATGAGAGGCTTATATAGTACCCCTAGATGTGCAATATCACCATAGTGTTCTTTCTCAAAACAATAAAATACTCTTGCAGTTTGCTCCCCCAGCAGGACATGTGAAGTGTTTACTGTGACCGGCCTGCATTTGTTCTGTCAGCAGGTGTGTATTGACTGCTGACCATGACCAGCCAATGCACTGCGTTCTGGGAACAAGTGGTGAATTAGTGGTTCCCTTCAGCTACTCTTCTTAGAGTCCATGAGGAAGCTAGACTCAAACAAATGAATAAGCACCAAAAGGAAAAATGACAAGTGTGGCATGTTCTTCAGGAGCAAACAGGCCATTGTTGCTATAGACTCATCCAGGTTACAAAAAATTTTTTTTTTTGCCTTGATATTTCATGCTGTTAATCTGTTCATTGGTAACGTTGAAAAAGAGCTGATGGATTTGACCAAATTGTGTGTATACATTTATTGTGAAACAAAAAATGCTACCCTAGCGCTTGTGTGCCAGGCACCATCCTGGGTGCAAGAGAAAGAGCCACAGGCAGAACAGCATTGTGGTGTTGGTAGCTGTCGCCCTCGTGGAAAGTCTGTGAACGAAAACGCGATAAATAGCAGGAAGTGATATGTTACATGAAGAAAAGGAAAGCCCACTGAGAGCCTAGAGAGTGGTCAGACTTGGCTCTGGTTGGGTGGACTATGAGGGAGTCTCAGAGGAGACAGTTTTCTCACCTTCTCCTTTTGTCTATGGGGTCATCTGGTGAGTACAGAGCGCGAGATGACCTTTGTATGTGCTGGCAGCGTTCACATACTCATTCAGGGAGCTGTGGTGAGACCTTTTCTTTCTAATTCTTACCTCTCTAAAAGAGATGACTACTTGAGTTATTTTCTTAATACCTTTAGCATTCTTACATACACTTAAGAAACACATCCATTCATCCATCCCTTTTATGCAAAAAAATATGCTTTGGTATATTTTTGGTATGGTTTTCACAATCTTGGGATGTGATTCATTTGAGTAAATACTCTGTGCCCCCCAGTTGTTTGATTATCATAGAGTTGCTTCTGAAGAGAGTTCTTTTTATCCAAGTCTTTCTTCTAGTAAACTCTCAGCCATTGAAATTTGATGTCTTGGATGATCTTACAGTGATCCCAGCCTTAAGGCCAAAAACCCTAAATAAAGCTGTACACCACTCAAGTGTTCTGTAGCGTTGCACAAGTCTAAAATAGGTAACTGGCACACACCCCACTTTATTGTTGGCTAACTGACTTGTCCTATAAATAGCTCCATGTTACATGATAGGCAACTACAGCTAACTGTGAAGGGATTTTTGTTTCCTAACACGTGTAGTTCTTTATATTCAACACATTCACAGTCTAATTCACTGAACCCTAACTGTAACAGAGAACCTAGGAGAATTGTGCAAATTAGTGGCCAAATCATTTTGGATGGGATTCAAGATGGTCCCGTCAATCTTGTTCACAGGTCAACGCAAGCTTCAGTGTTCATTCCCTCTATGTTTGGAGGAAAGATGCTGCCGCACACCCTGGTTAATCCTGGTTAATCTGTTGAGTGGTTAAAACTTCCCAGGTGAATGAAGAAGACATCGTGTTAGTTTTATAAAATGAATCTTCTAAAACGAAGGGGATGTTTTGAAAACGCATCCACTGTTGAAATATAATGGTTCTTGTTTCTAACTTTTGGTTGGAATGTGGTGTTTTTTATTTTTAAACGCTGTAATTTAATGATATCATTTCATAAATCCCCTAGCAATAACTCAGGTGAAACGTAGGGTATTTTTTCAGGTAACTCAGTACCGTTTGTGTATCAAGTACTGCTGCTTAGGTAATTAGCAAATCATTCAGAGAGTTTCTTTTGTGCTTCACATATCTTACCTTTCTTTTACCTAGGTCTTTTTTTGAATGACAATATGTTTGCTACATTTCTTAAAAGTCAAAACACCAAATCTAAAGTGATTTTTTTAAAACTCTGTGCTAATTGTTTTTATCATCATGCTTACTTATGTTTCCTACTCTTACACAAAGTTTGGAACAAAAGTAAAAAATACGTCTTATGATAGCAAAGCTATAGGCATTTCTCCAATGCTGAATTTGTACTTTTGCTTATTAGGCTTCCATACATTTTATAGTCAGAATTACATACACCCAGTTACAGATATACCATCCCATGGCCATACTGAAAGTCTGCATTTCGAAAACGTTTTAGAATTAAATGTTTTTAAAACACTACAGAAGTTTACAAAAGTATTCTTGATACTGATCTTTTGTCTACCAAAACGGGCTTGCAAGCATTTATTGCTAGCTTTGATAACTGTGTGAATAGTTGACTCTAGTGGATCTAAAAGGGGAAGGAGAAGGAAACACACACACACAAACACAACTGTTTGTTTTTTTTAGTAGACTGTAAACCATGGCTGTGTGGATCCAGGCCCAGCAGCTCCAGGGAGACGCTCTTCATCAGATGCAAGCGCTGTATGGCCAGCATTTCCCCATTGAGGTGCGGCATTATCTCTCCCAGTGGATTGAGAGCCAAGCCTGGTAAGTGAGCAAAGGTTTTTATTCCCTCTGTCATGCAGCACAAGAATATTGAATTTTATTGACAAGATAAACACGATAGAGATTTTTAAAGTTGTACATTAAGAAAAAAATGACGTGACCCATGAAAAGGTCCTTAAACTCATCTTTGATTTAGGAAGATAGAATAATTCTTGAGATTTGAAATATAGGATTTGTGCCCTTTAATAGTAGATTATCGCTAAAAACATTAGCATATTTCTGCTAATAAAAAGCAACTAATAAGTGAGTTTTGAGTGCCTTTAGGCTGTTTGGCAGTGTCATAGAGTATGAAAAAACTAATATTCCTTGTTCCTAGAGAATTTCATGTTTAATGGGGCAGATAAGAATTCATGCATTTTAATAAAATGCATTGTTAACAAATTTAACAATGGAATTAACTGGAATGTTTAAATTTATGAATATTATATACATACACATTAAAAGTGTACTAGTTTGGCCCTCCCTGGTGGCGCAGCGGGTTAAAGCACTGCACTGAGAAGCTGGAGCCACTTCCGCATGGGTTCGATTCCTGCCTGCCCCGGAGGTGACCACATGGTGTGGCAGACCTCTCCTGACCCACCCGCTGCTCCCCTCAGCGGTGTGCTTCGTCGATCTGCCTGTTCTGCTCCCCACTCTGTCTCTGGTGAATCCTCTCACCCTCCACATCTCTGGCCTGTACCCCAGTTCTGTACAAATAAATAAATAAATATTTTAAAAAAAAAAGTGTACTAGTTTACAAAAAAATTAATAGTAGTTATGTGGCAGATTTAATAAGCAGATGCATTTTTCTTATTTTCCAAATTTCTGTTTATTTACCCAGGGGAACTTGTTTTGAAGCTATTTTAGAACAAGCACAAAGCAGTGGGCTGACAGCATAGCTTTCTAGCCAGCAGCATTGCTGTATGTGTCTGTGCCGTGGCCTGGAGCGAGTTGGCTGGCTGCCAGCGTGGCAGCCTGACCCCGCTCCTCCTGGGTGCTCGACCCCCCCAGCCCTCCCCTTGGCAGGGTCCTCTGCCTCCACGCCACTGTTGGAGGAAGGCTGTGTACCCCTCAGTAATGTTGCCTTGGAATAATTGCAGTCTTGTGTACATAGCAGATTTCAATCCAGAAACTAGAGCGTGGTAAAGCAAGGCAATTTTCTTGGCAATTAAAACAACAACAACAACAACAACTCAGCCTCATGTAATTAAGTGAGAAAAAAACGAGTTGCTGAGTAAGAGCCTGTCTGTCAGCCGCATCTCGCTGGTGCTTTCCGCTTCCTTCTCATTTCCCTCCTTGTGGCAGTGATTTGGAGAGTGCAGAAGACATTAGCAGGTCATTTCTGATGACTTAAAATTTCATTTAGATGTTCAGAGTATGCTGCTTCTTGAATAAATGTTAAAAGACTTGTGTTGATATTTTTTCACACAAGAAACTGTAATTTATCAGTCTCTCATGAAAACTCTGCACCGTTGCCACAGAAAGTTTGCTTCTCTCTGCAGTGCCTGGTCTTGATAACACCTGATTCTCCTCATTGCATTCTTGGGGTCCCTTTGGCTGTTTTCTCAATGTCTTATTTTCCCTTTGCACACAGGCCATGTCTGGCAAGTCTGTGTTCGGGTTCATTTTTCTTTGCATAATCCAAGGAATCATAAATCAGGCCACGGCCAGTTGTCTCGCCTCTTCCAAAGCAGGTTCTGAATCCAACATCCAGATGACATCTCGGGAGGGCTTGCACATTTTGGCTAGCTTTTCTGAGCTCTCTGTCCTAGGTGCTCTTGCCTTCCAGCCGTTGGGACCCACCACTTCCATGGAGATGTGTGGGCCGAGCTGACCTGTGCCCAACAGTCACAGTGTCCTTCATGGCGGTGGTGGCAGGGAGGGCGGAGGGAGAGGGAGAGACTGTCGAGACGAGTCGATGTTAAGGAAAAACTGAATTTTGTCTGCTTTTGGTTTGCTTACCATATAAAGATTTGAATAAAAGTCTTCAGTTCAGTCTTAGTTTGAACTAAGAGAGTTGCTTTTTTTTTTTCTTTTTTAACAGAGTTAAGCTTTCAAATACAAAAATCATATGAGTTTTGCTCAGAGACTGGCTCTTTTTGGGAGTGGGTGGCTTTCCAGACAAGGAACATTACTTGCAAGTGGAAAGAGAGGCAAGGCTGCCTTCATTCCTCCAGGCTTTCATCTAATGCATATTTAACATAGTACATAGCATGTCACGTACATATTTAAAACTTGGCCTTCTCAGGATATGGATTTGAGCATATTACTTGATGATGGATGTTATCAGTGTTTTGGTGCCTGTTTGTGCTGGCTGTTTTCAGGGTTGTAGGCGTGACAGAGTCTGGAGCCACCACGAGATCAGCTCGGACCTGGTCAGAGTCACTGAATGTTATTTTACCCTGACAGCTGTGTGGTTCCCCCAGGGAGCTAAGTAATTCAGTACTGCCCTGCAGCAGTTATTGCCTAAGTTGTTTAAAAAAAGAAAGGGGAGAGTCAGGAAGGGAAGCGGCTAGTAGAAGAGAAGGAGTGAAGAAGAAGGAACAGAGAGAAGACCCTCAATCCTTGTTAGCAGCTAGGCTGCTCTGGATTAACACTGAGCCCAGGATGGCTTCTCTGGCTCCCGGGAAGAGCTAGGGTTGCCTGCGGGTCCCAAAGCTGCAACTAGTGATAAAAATGCCAGACTTAGTTAAATACTTGCTTCTTCTGTTTTAACGTATGATGTCCAGGGCACCTCAGAAATAACAGTAAACATCTTAAGAAATGCTCTATGTGAGGGGCCCTCCCTGGTGGTACAATAGCACAGTGGGTTAAAGCGTAACACTGCAAACTAGCTGCAGCCACTTCAGTGTGAGTTCGATCCCCACCCCAGAGGTGACCCACATGGCGCAGCAGACCTCTCCTGACCCGCCCGCTGCTCCTCCCAGCAGTGTACTTTATCAGTGGGCCTTTTCTGCTCCCCACTGTCTCTGGTGAATCCTCTCACCATCCCTATGCCTCTGGCTTGTATCCCAACTCTGTATGTATAAATACATAAATCTTTTTTTTTTAAGATTTATTTATTTATTTATGCATACGGAGCTGGGGTACAGGCCAGAGGTACAGGGGCGGTGAGAGGATTCACCAGAGACAGTGGGGAGCAAAACAGAGTGGGGAGCAGATCAGCAAAGTACACTGCCCAGGGGAGCAGTGGGCAGGCCAGGAGAAGTCTGCTGCACCATGTGGGTCACCTCTAGGGCAGGGGATCGAATTCACACTGGAGCTCTGCAGCCAGCTTGCAGTGCTGAGTCCTTACCCATTGCACAACCAGGGAGGGCCCCTAGATACATACATCTTAAAAAAAAAAAAAAAAAAAGAAAGAAATGCTCCATGTGAAATTAGGAACACACAACACTAGCCAAAGCTGGAAAACACTCAGAGAACATTCTTGACCTTGTACCCTCCTACACCCTTGAGAAGGTCACTATAAATAGGAAATTATCAGAGTCCTTACTTCCTTCAGAGTACACAAAGCACTTTTCTTTTCCGTCATTCCTGGTTTCAGATAGCATATGCACCACTTCAAGTCAGTAGGAGGAAGGAGAAGTTGAAAACAGTTTTAAAATATTTTATAATATGGATATAGAATATATAACATTTAATATAGTATAGTAATATATAATATGTTCCTGCTGTGCAGCTTAAGGTAACTGTGGATTAGAAAAAGATTTGTGTATACAGCTGGTCAATTTAAATCGGCCTATTCCTTAAAATTTGCAGTGGGCATTCTGAAGGAATGACTTTAACCCAAGAAAAGGTGTGATGTGTTGAGGCTGCATTTATACAGGCTCGTGTGCATGTATGTATACATATGTATGTAATTTTTTTCCCCTAGGGACTCAATAGATCTTGATAATCCACAGGAGAACATTAAGGCCACCCAGCTCCTGGAGGGCCTGGTGCAGGAGCTGCAGAAGAAGGCGGAGCATCAGGTGGGGGAAGATGGGTTCTTACTGAAGATCAAGCTGGGGCACTACGCCACCCAGCTGCAGGTGGGTGCGGGCAGGTCCACTTCATTCCCTTCCCTCGGTGGGGGGAGGGGGGGCTCGTCCTTTGTTAGTGCTTCAGTAGAGACTTTCCTCTTCGACATTGTCAAGCTCCATACAGCGTGTTGAATTTCTAATCGCTTGGTGTTGTGGTTATAGTGTTCCTTTTTAGCTTTTGATTTAAAAATAATTTCAAATTTACAGAAAGTAGAAGACAGATACAAAGAATCTTTAATTATGCCCAGACTCACCTACTGCTAGTATTTGCTTTATCACGTGCTCTCTTGAAACACACGCACACATTTTCTTGTCACTTGAGAATAAGCGTCATGTGTCATGCTCCTTTTCTCCTGAGTACCTTAGTGTGTTTTCTGCCTTCCCTAATGTGGTTCTAGCACAGAATCAACTTCAGTAAACTTAACGTTGATGCAACACTTTTAAGTAGTCTTATGTCTTACAGAGTTTCCATTTTGTTAGCTGACTTAATAATGTCCCTTAAGGCTTTTTTTCCTCCCTTCAGTCCAGGATCCAGTTCAGGTTCACACACTCAGCGGGTTGTCAACAAGCCTCGTGTGTCTCCCTTCACATGGACTCACTTCTCACCCTTTCTGGGTCTCTCAGTTACACTGACATTAAAATACCGTAACACCTCAATATTTTTAAAGGTAAAACACACCTCATTTTTGGTCTCCTCATGAATAGATCCAGGTTATACATCAGTATGGGCTCTCAAGAAGCTATGTTGTGGCCTTCTCACAGCGTCCCACCCTCGCTGGGGGCAGTCTCATGCTCCCCAGTCGGGTGGCGTCTAATTTCCCTTGTGATGAGGTTGTTAGAAATTGATTTATCCTGTTTTTAAGTCTGATACTCTAGTACTTTCAGCAAATTAAGAACCAGGAGGCAAAATAACCTTCCCTCTGGCTACAATTGGGATTCCTTTCTTGGGTTTCTCCCACCCCACTGACACCGAGGAGCAGCCTGGCTGGCTGCACCCCTGTCTGCAGGGCCTTCTCGCCAAGAGGTCTTGCCCCCTGTTCCAAGGTAGGGTTGGGCCCATAGCATGGAGTGAAACAAAGTGAAAGCTCTGTGGGATTCTTCCAGAACACGTACGACCGCTGCCCCATGGAGCTGGTCCGCTGCATCCGCCACATCTTGTACAACGAGCAGAGGCTGGTCCGAGAAGCCAACAACGTGAGTGTCCCTGGGCCCGGGCGGCTTGAGCAGGCCTCTTTGCCCGCCTCACGCTGAACCCAGCGTTGTCAGGGCAGCTCAGGGCGGAGCTGCTGGCATCTCTATAAATACAGCACTGTCCTGAGGGCCACAGAAGAAATAGAAGACTGGTCTGTGATGTAACTGATTTACAGACACAAATGAATGTGAAATAATTTCACTCCAGCTGAATAATTGTTGAGTGAGGAAAGGCATGCTCACATTCAGGTGAGATTATTCAGGAAAGACTTGCCTCTCGTCTCCACCAAGGGAATGGCCCAGCTAAGCCCCTTACATGGCTGGATCCACCAAGACGCAGCGGTGCCCTCCACATCTCTGTACTTCATTCTGGCGTCTCTAGACACTGCCTGTGAAAGGTTCAGCCTCCCCCCTCAGTCACAAGACAATCTTGAGGGATGGTGTATTCCCATATTTCCCCATGTCCCAGCTTCTGACACATCTGTGACCCTGGTCAGTGAATGTGAAGTGTGGGGTGGGCACCATTGGCAGGAAGACCCAGGGAACTCCGGCACTTGTTGAGTTCTGGTTGCTGCAGGGAGAGTGCGGGTGAGCCCTGTTTGGGGTCCTCTGCTGGAGGCTGACTCTGCACAGGTATTTCTGCCGTGTTCTGTGACGGGGTGTCATCTGCCAGCTCACCTGTCTGCTCTACCCAGTTCTCACAAGCCGGGTTTGCAATTCCGCTGACTCGAACTTTAGGGACAGGTTCCGGCGCTGGCTTTTCCTCTGGACTAGGGCTGCAGTGCTGTCCCGCCCTCCGGGCCCACTCACCGCGCCTGCGCTCTCCCCCGTCTGTGTCCAGGGAACTGCTCCAGCCGGGAGCCTTGTGGACGCCATGTCCCAGAAACACCTTCAGATCAACCAGACTTTTGAGGAGCTGCGGCTGGTCACTCAGGACACAGAGAATGAGCTGAAGAAGCTGCAGCAGACGCAAGAGTACTTCATCATCCAGTATCAAGAGAGCCTGAGGATCCAGGGTGAGGCTGGTGCAGCGGGCAGTGGGTTTGATGAGGAAGCGAAGACTAGAAAGAATCTCAGATTGGATTGAAAGAGAGCCAGTCTTCTACTCAGAGGCATTTGCTTTTCTCTGGAGTAACAGGGAGGGAATCATATGCATTGATGGCAGTCCTGAGAGAATGAAGCTCAGGAAGGCAAGAAGACACGCTTTTGCCCTGAGAGAACCTCCTGCTCCCAGGCGCTCCTAGTGGGGAAGAGCAGACATTCCAAGTCAATAGTACCCAGCAGTATTGTGGTGTAGAGTAGGCAAGTCAATGGAAGGGCCAAGGCCTGGTTATGCAGAGGCCTTCTGGGGCAAAGCACATGGCCCATCTGCCCTCTTTCAGCTCCTGTAGACCAAGACTCCCTTGCAGTCAGGAGTGGCTTCCTGCTTGGGTACAGAGAACTTCAGTCTGGAGGCCTCAGAGCCTCACCAGCACCCCCTGTTGGACGTATAGGCCCTTGGCAAGCACCTGGAGCTTGCTTTCCCGGCTTGCATGGAATCCTAAAGAAACCTTTGCTCCACCAACCAGGCACACACACAGACTCAGAGCTCCTCCAGAGCCATGCACGTGGGCGTGATAACTACATTGGTATTAACTGCTTTCACATTAGACTGTAAAATACTTGAGGGGGAGCTGTACTCTGAGACCAGCACATTGCCTGAATCACGGTCGGCACTGGGTAATTTAGGTGGGAATGTCCTGCCGTGTCTCCCATCCTGGACGGTCCCAGAGCAGGTTGGCCTCTTTCAAGATTAGGAGAGGGAGGTTTCAGGCTATTATTTCTAACCCAGTTGTTTCACTGGTTGACAGTATTGATCTTACTCTTGAGTTTTCTGTTTCCTAGTTATGGATTTGGGTTTATAGCTATTGTGCAATGTCAGTTCAGTCTCAAGTTATCAAGTTCACCCGTCAGAAACACAGACTATTGATCTGTTTGTACAAGGGAAGGTTCAGCTCCCTCCAGTGGAGCAGACAATTGCTTCATGTCTCCTGGCTTCCTTCCCAGAAGTTTATGCAAATTGCCAAGAGAACCTGAGTGGGTCACTTGCATGGAGAGGTCGGGTTCAGGATTGGGATCACTACCACCTCCATGCCAGTGGAAGGATCCTAGAGTCCATCCAGCCCACCTTGCTGAGATCTGTGCCAGAATGTGCTCTTCCTGCTCAGCCCCCAGCAGGGACAGCTTTAGCATATCTCTCGGCCCCTTGTGAGTCTTGGTTTTTCCTGGCAAGAATTGGACTTACGTTAGTCTCTTCCAGCATGTGCATCCACTGGGCAAGGTCTGAGTCAGTGTGACATGGCCCTCAGGGACCTGCCAGGCCATGCCAACACTCATAACCACTTGACTCAGTCCCAGTGAGGACTATGGGGTGTTCAGAAAGGTTACTGGGGTCCTTCCTGGTGGCACAAGAAGTCTCAGCACTATGAAGCTCTTGGAGTTTCATTCTGCAGCATGAGTTTGATTCCCAGGCAGGGAGCTGACCCACATGGCACAGAGACCTCCCCTGTCTCACCCGCTGCTCCCCTCAGTAGTGTGTTTCAGTAGATCTGCTTGTTCCACTCCCCACTCTGTCACTGGTGAATCCACTCAGACCTGCACCTCTGGCCTATACCCAGCCTTGTGTGCATCCATAAGTAAAAAAAAAAAAAATTTAAAGGTCACCGGGCAAAGCATTTAGGACACCAGAGAGCAGAATGGGTTTGCGAGCAGGGGACGGTGCACAGGCGGCCTCCGCTCGGAAACGCTTGGCTTCTTAGGCGGGGTCGGTGGCACAGGTGTTCCTTGTGTGACTCTCTCCGTGTGCCCTATGACCTAAGTGTCTCTTCACAGACATTTTGGAAAGGGCATGGAAGCCACACCGACCACCTATCCCCGCCTCTGATGGGATTCCTGACAGCTGGTGTGGAGAGCGGCTGCCTCCCTCCACCCTCACTTTCCTGAGAGTCTCGCTGCTGTGGGTCCCAGCGGGCCCGGGCTCTCTGTCTCCCCGGTTGGTGTGTGAGCGCACACAGCCCCGGCCTGCACAGGCCTGTCCGGTGAACCCCTCTTCCCCGAGAGGGGTGCGGTGGTCCGGGAGTCGGGGCGCAGGCGGCAGAGGGCCTGCCCCGAGGAGACGCAGCTGGGTGAGGTCGGGGCAGCTGCTGTGCCTACCCTGGCCTCTCCCGTGGCCCCTGAGCCCATCAGGACTAACTCTTACATAGACCTTACCTGTGCCGGGAGCTTCTTGAACACTTCCCATGACGTCAGCTGCTGCTCCTCATAGCGGGCGCCCGAGGCAGGTGCCATGATTCCCCAGCTTTACACGCAGGGAAACCGAGGCACGGGCGAGAAAAGTGGTTTGCCTGAGGTGACCCAGCCAGGAGACGGTGAGGGCACAAGGCTCACTAGGCCACGTAGCTCCAAGCTGGACATTGCGAGGAGGGCTGGGCAGCCAGTGTGTGTTTGGGGGGGAAGCCACGGGCAGGATCCTCTCAGCTGTGCCACAGGCTTCCACCTCCTCCCTGGAGGGCAGCTGAGAGTCGGGAGGCCAGCAGCAGGCCCTCTGGCCGCTGCACCTCGGCCCACAGACGCTGACGTGCCCCGAGAGGGTCTTGCTCCAGGAAGATGCGTGTGGCTTCCCGCTGGATGACAGTGTGGGTGTCTGTCCCCTCCTCTAGCTCAGTTTAGCCAGCTGAGCCAGCTGAACCCCCAGGAGCGTCTGAGCCGGGAGACGGCCCTGCAGCAGAAGCAGGTGTCCCTGGAGGCCTGGCTCCAGCGCGAGGCGCAGACGCTGCAGCAGTACCGCGTGGTGAGTGGGAGCTGCGGCCTGCCCAGGCCTGGAGGGCCACGCCCCGAGCTGCGTGGGGGCCCCGGAGAGGGCGGGGCCCCGAGGGGGGCAGAGCCCTTCCTTCTTTGCTGTGGGGGCTGTGGGGCAGAGCAGGGGGGCCGAGGGGTGCCGGGGCCTGGCCCTGTCTGCAGAGTGAGCCAGCAGGCCTGTCCCCTGCTTCCCTCAGGAGCTGGCGGAGAAGCACCAGAAGACCCTGCAGCTGCTGCGGAAGCAGCAGACCATCATTCTGGACGATGAACTGATTCAGTGGAAGCGGCGGCAGCAGCTGGCCGGGAACGGAGGGCCCCCCGAGGGCAGCCTGGACGTGCTGCAGTCCTGGTAAGGGGCTGGGGGAAGCGGACGGGAGGGGGTGACGGGGCGGGCAGGCACCCAGGGGTGCTTCCGGCCGGCTCCCCCTGACCGGGACGGTCCTGTCCCCGGTGGTGCTGCTTTCCGAGGTGGACTTCGGTGTCCGCACCTTGTCACCTCCCCAGGGTCGGCGTCACTGCTGGTGAAGGGAGCAGGGCCCGGCTGTTTGGACGCTGACCAGGGCCCCTCCTCCTGGCCCCTTCCCTGTCCCTGGAAGGCGGGGCGTGTGCTCCGCTCGCTGGGTGGCTCAGAGAGGCAGCCGAGGCGCCAAGCCTTCCCGGTGGGGCTGCAGTTGGGCCTCATCTCAGGGTTCTCTCCCGACTGGGAAGCTCCCAGATTCGGCCTGGGGCCTGGACAGAGGGAGCCGGTGACCTTCCCGTTGGCCTTGGGGCTCCATGCAGGTGTGAGAAGTTGGCCGAGATCATCTGGCAGAACCGGCAGCAGATCCGCAGGGCTGAGCACCTGTGCCAGCAGCTGCCCATCCCCGGCCCGGTGGAGGAGATGCTGGCGGAGGTCAATGCCACCATCACAGACATCATCTCAGCCCTGGTGACCAGGTGACGGCCGCCTCTCGCCCGTGCCCCGCAGGCGGGCGCAGCCCCATGTGGACGGTGTCGGGGTGGTGGGGGCAGCAGGTGGGAGCCCAGAATTGTCTCCGCCTCGTGCGCTCACGCCCCCCGGGCCCCGCTGCCCAGGCTGCTGGGTGTGGCCCCCCCAGCCCAGGCCAACCCAGGCTGGCTGCTGGGTTCCCGCCGGGCCTGGCCCCCCTCCCTGCCGCCCCCTCCTCCCGCCGAGCCCCCGCGGGAGGGGCCGGGGAGGCCGTCCCCTGAGTGCCTCCTGTGTCCCCACAGCACCTTCATCATCGAGAAGCAGCCCCCCCAGGTCCTGAAGACCCAGACCAAGTTCGCGGCCACCGTGCGCCTGCTGGTGGGCGGGAAGCTGAACGTGCACATGAACCCGCCCCAGGTGAAGGCCACCATCATCAGCGAGCAGCAGGCCAAGTCGCTGCTCAAGAACGAGAACACTCGCAAGTAGGTGTGCCCCCCCTGCGGCACCGCCCCGAGCCAGGCACCTGACCGTCCCGGGGCCTGTCCTGTTGATGGGGACAGTGTGGCCTCCCCCACGGCCCACTTCCTCCAGTCTTTTCCTGGAAATCTGCATTCCCTCGGAAGTTGCGCCACCCCTCTGTAGGCAGTGTTGCCGCTTCTGACTTTTTGGTGCTCAGAGCAGGAATACTAGGGGTTGTTCTGTAAGAAGTTAAATGTACATTCTGCCCTGTGCACTGAGTTTCTCTGTGGGTTGAGAGCTCAGTTGTCTGTCTCGCAGTGACTACAGCGGCGAGATCTTGAACAACTGCTGCGTGATGGAGTACCACCAGGCCACCGGCACCCTGAGCGCCCACTTCAGGAACATGGTGAGAGCGAGCGAAGAGGGAGAGCCCATGTTCTCGCTAGTCTCTGGGGGCTTCCTCATCCTCTCGTTCACCTTCGCAGTCCCTGAAACGAATTAAGAGGTCTGATCGTCGTGGAGCCGAGTCAGTGACAGAAGAGAAATTTACAATCCTGTTTGAATCACAGTTCAGTGTTGGTGGAAATGAGTTGGTTTTTCAAGTTAAGGTAAACATCCCCTCCCCGCTCAGCTGTGTTATGTGTTTATATCACAAAAGAACTTTTGGAACATTTTCTATTGTGATGAACAGAAAGTGGGGAGACCTCATCCTCAAACTGTGTCTCTTAGATTCTCTAGAGACAAGCCAATACTAACAAACTGAAATAACTGGAGCTACAGCAGAAAGTGGGTCAGGAGAAATGTCACTCAGGGTGGCCCTGAGTGACAGTTGTAGTTTTAGGCATTTGCCAGGAATGTTTGCACATGCTGCTCTCTCTCCTTATAAAGAGCGGATATAAAAGTGCTTTTGTGATATGAAGATCTCATAGTAACTTTGAGAGACTCACTCATACTGCAAAGGTATCTAGTTATACCTCTTAAAATAGCTAAAATTTCTCTAAGATTGTGTCAGTGTGGAAAGTCCTATTCTCCCATTCAAATTCTCTATTCAAGGTGACATTTACCGACTCTTAAGGGGAAAGAACGTGTGGGGGCTGAAGAACGGGGAGGCAGGCCATGTGTGGTGCAACCTCAGCCCCCCTGTCTTCCAGACGCTGTCCCTCCCAGTAGTGGTGATCGTTCACGGCAGCCAGGACAACAACGCCACAGCCACCGTGCTCTGGGACAACGCTTTTGCAGAGCCTGTGAGTGAATTCCTGGGGCTGTGGGTTTCAGGGTCTTGATGCTGGTGTCACCCCCTCCCCCAGATATAAGGAAAATGTTTTCTTTTCTAAAAGATTTTCATTTATGCATACAGAACTGGGGTACAAGCCAGAGGTGCGGGGGGTGAGAGGGCTCAATAGAGACAGAAAGGGGAGCAGAACAGGCAGATTGATGAAATACACCGCTGAGGGGAGCAGAGGGCTGGTCAGGAGAGGTCTGCCGCGCCATGCGGGTCACCTCCCTGGCTGGGATCAAACTCGTGCTGCAATTGCTGTGGACAGTTTCATAGTGCTGCGCTTTAACTGTTGCAGGCCCACCAGGGAGGGCCTGGAAAATGTTGTTTTCTTATTGGGAGGCAGAGTGGAGAGTGTGTGGAGATGGAAAGAACGTGGGCTTGACTTCAGGCTAAGTGTATGCGAATTCAAGCTCCTCCATTTCCTGCCTCTGACTCACTTTACCTCTCTGAGCTGAAGTCCCTAGTAAGTGCCTGCAGCACGGGACAGTGAAGCTGCGTAGCATTGTCGGGATGATTAACCTCCGTGACAGACAAAATGCTCATCACCTAGTCAGTTCTCACTAATTCCTTGGGAATCTCAGTGAAGGCACAAGTGGGATTTTGGGTTCTTGAGTTCTGTGTACATACTGGGCCTCTCAAGAGGTCACCATAGCATAGAGATTGATTCCTGTCATCTTCCAATAAATGGTTTTTTTGAGAGTGATTTTTCATGTCTTCCAAGTTTTAGATTCTGTGAGTGGTTTCAGAGGCTTTGTCTGAGGGAACAAATGTGACTTTGCAGATGTAAGTGCCCATAGCCCTCAGACACCACTGGCGGCTGCCTGAGGGCTGCTACAGCCTCAGCAGGCACAGAACTTGTGTTGCGAATCTCCAGCAGACATTAATCCATAAAAACACGACCATGTCATAGCCTGCTTCCAGCCCCTGGTATTTTCCTTTCACAGGCTAAGGGAATAAATCACCCAGCAGTTTCCTCACAGGGCCCCCCCCCTCTTCCCCCAGGGCCGGGTGCCCTTCGCCGTGCCCGACAAAGTGCTGTGGCCACAGCTGTGTGACGCGCTCAACATGAAGTTCAAGGCCGAGGTGCAGAGCAACCGGGGCCTGACCAAGGAGAACCTCGTGTTCCTGGCACAGAAACTCTTCAACAGCAGCAGCAGCCACCTGGAGGACTACAGCAGCATGTCCGTGTCCTGGTCCCAGTTCAACAGGGTGAGCGCCCTGCCGCTCCCCCTCTGTCTCTCCGAGCCAGGCCCTTCCAGGAGTCTCCTTGCCCCGCCCGTCCTCACGCCCCTAATAAAAGGTGCCCAATGTCATAGGAAACCTCCACGTAAAGGGACAGCACATACTTGCTGGCAGGAAACCTCGTGTCCGGCTGCGCCAGTAGGTTGGGCCGTGCCTGTGGCTGCACCATGACTCCCCGGGAGGCATCAGTCTGTGCTGCCCGGAGCCCCCAGCTCTGTCCTGCTGAGCCTCTTGTTCCCTGGTGTAATGAGAGGCACCTCAGCCGCAGCCGGGCTGCCTGTGCAGAACGCAGTCTCACTGGTGTCTGTTTATTCACCTGCCACATCTTTGGTTTTAGATTTAACTTCCACTTTTTTTTTTTTTGTCTCTTTTCTTTAAATGCTCTAATTGGGGGACCTCTGAGTTTACCTCTTTTAAATCACTGTATTAACCAGTTGGCCAGAGGGGTGCTAGTCTTTAGAAGGGGCTCAGTGAGGCGAAACAGGTCTCCACGAGCTGTGGCTGCCTGGAATCAGCCCTGGACACAGCTCACTGCTTGCTGCTGGTGGTCACCGGCTAGCATCTGGTGATGGAGCACTCCTTGGGGCCTCACAGCATTGTCCAGTCCAGGTGACACTCTCAGAGCACCTGGGTATCTTGCTAGGATGCAGGCACTGCTTCACCTGCATCTCTCAGCGTGAGCTGCTGCTGTTGCGAGACACTGGCCACACGCTGAAAACAGCAAGTGCCTGGTCACCCAGGCCCAAGGCATATGTCTGTAGCAGGGTCCACTGGGTGATGGCCACTGCTCTGTGTTGTGCCTCCTTCCAGACTCCTTTCTTCCCTGTTCTGCTTTTTGGCTGTTGGACCATTGGCAAAGCAGCCAGGCTTGCTTATTTGTGCGACCCTTCTCGTGTAGGCATTTCCTTCCCACCCAGTTTTTTCCAGTTACGGTACATGAAGGAGACATCCCAAGTGCTGCTTCTACTCATTGTTATGTCTCCAACCAGGAGAATTTACCAGGACGGAATTACACTTTCTGGCAGTGGTTTGATGGCGTGATGGAAGTGTTAAAAAAACATCTCAAGCCTCACTGGAATGATGGGTGAGAATCATCATTTGTTAGTTAGCAATAGCATTTGAAGATCTTTCTGGCATAAAAAGATCACACTGTGCTTCTGCCCCTTTGGCTTCGGGATCCAGAGCTATCTTGGGTTTCGTGAACAAGCAACAGGCCCACGACCTGCTCATCAACAAACCCGATGGGACCTTCCTGCTGAGATTCAGCGACTCTGAAATTGGGGGCATCACCATCGCCTGGAAGTTTGATTCTCGTGAGTACCCTCGCCTTTAAGACTTGCACTGACTGCTTTGGTGGCAAACTTGCTGTCATGACGTGCTGCGTATTTATATTGGTTGGGGCCAGTGCTGACTGGGGGAGCACAGGCGTGTTGCCGTGCTACATGGCAGGCAGCATGAAGTCGACTGTGAGAGACAGTTCTTGATTTTGAGAAAGACGAACTCTGACAGCATTTGAGCCCAGTACTAGCGTCCCGTCCAAAATCTCAGCCTTGCAAAGCCGAAATGTGTGCACCCTCACTCCCGGCCTCATTTCTGTGAGTTGTGGCTTGGATGGTTGGGAGTCATGAATGCAGCAACAGCACGGCACTAAGGAATCCTGTACCCCGTCACCTGAGGTGTCATCCATCGCCTGTCCTCGGGTCCTTACCACATGTGTGTGGCTGGCTAGGTTGTTTTTTTTTTTTTTTTTTCCATTGTTGTTTTTGTGACGTAAGGATCTTAATTGCTCTCACATGTCCTCTGGCCGTGGACATGGCTCCTGATGCTTCTGGACAGGAATCAAGAGTCAGGGAGGACTGCTGCTTCTCCACAGGCTGCCTCCCGCTCCCGACGCTGCCTGAGCTCACTGCAGCCCTAGGGAAGCAGCGTGTGCCGCCTGCTTACCTGCCTGGGTCTTAAAAAATTGTGTGATCTACAACCTGTGCTTATTGACATGGCTCTTATTGGGATAATTGTAATGGAGAGTTCTGCTGTGTTATGTATTTGAATGTTAGCGTTTTGCATTCAGAAATAGTGTTTAGAGTGTGATTGTTCTGTTTATTCACTTAGAGGAAAGAATGTTTTGGAATCTGATGCCTTTTACCACCAGAGACTTCTCCATCCGGTCCTTGGCTGACCGCCTGGGGGACCTGAATTACCTCATCTACGTGTTTCCTGACCGGCCGAAGCACGAGGTGTACTCCAAATATTACACGCCGGTTCCCTGCGAGCCTGCCACTGGTAACAATGTTCGCATTTTGATTTGGTCATGTTGTGATGTTGGTGGCTAGTTGTGCCTCCGTGTGTCTGTCTGACACGAACCTGCACAGTTGGCACCTAGTTATTGCTGTTGGAGCGTTTTCCAGGCGCTTGTAAGTGTGGAGCTGTTCTTCTGGCACACAGAAGATGTGCCTGCCACTAACCCCAAGCATCAAATTGCTTAGGACAAACAAAGTTGGAAAGGTAAAATTTTATTTTTTCCAAAACAGAAACAGCTTCATTATTTTTTTTAATAAAAGTATTGTCTATTTGTTGTGAAAATCCCAGAAAAGTAAAAATATATACAGTGTCTCTCATCTAGAGATTTACCACTATAAAAAGTTTAGTGACTGTTCTCCCAATCTGTATAGGTAGGAATTCACCATTTGTTCAGGAAGTCTGTCACCAGATGCTTATTAAGTGCTTCCTGTGTGGGCGATACAATTTAGTAGCAGAAGGAAGACAGTAAACAAGTAAACCAAAATATGTATGTAGTGAAGGCTGCTATGAAGCCAGATGAAAGTATAGGGAGTGCCAGGGAAGAAGATGGCAGTGACATTGCCACGGGGGGCCTGGCCGGCTTCTCTAAAGAGGCCCGAGCAGACTAGACCAAGCACCCCCACTGGCCTGGCAGGGCTGCAGGGAAGGCTGACCGGTCGGCTCACGCTGCCTGGAGTCCAGGGTTCCGCCACACGTCTCCTGTGACCTGACAGTTTTCTCGCATAAAGGTATCTCCTAGGCAGAGTTACAGGTCAGTAACTATAGTCTCACGTCACTTGAATGATGGCGTGGCATTCCACTGGCCGTGACTCCATGTTGGGGTACTTACAGCTGAGTATTGAGGCCACCTAATCCCTGCGTCCAGTCCAGCTCTTTCCTCAGGGCGAGTTCCCAACGTGGCTTCATGCCAAGCAGCATGTGCACTCTCAGCACGTGGACACTTTGCAGACGGACACCCCAGCACACAGGGCCCTCTCTGCCCCCACGGGGGTGTTGCACCTCCAGCCAGTCGTTCTGTGTCATGCTCACCGGTCAACTGGCATCAGAATGGTACCACAGTTCTTACTTCCATTTCTTTGATTGTACCTAAGGTCAAGTGTCTGCAGGCAGTGACATGGTAATTAGAATGATAACTGCAGTTCCCCTGTGGCCTGCGCCAGACGCTCCTGGAGCCACTCTGCATCGTATCTTACTTAGGCCTGAAGACAGGCCTGCGAAGAAGCGCCTGTGTTGTTCCCGTCCCTCTGTGTGCAGAACTAGGGTACAGAGAAGTGAAATATTTAGCCTGAGGGCATGTAGACGAGCAGTGGCCGGCCAGGGCCAGCACGCAGGCTGTCCCCTCCAGAGCCTCACCCTTAACCACGCGCCCGTGGCCGCTTGGCCTCTCCCCTGTAAGCGGCGCGCTCCTCCCTTGCTCACTTCGCTCTCTCTGTGCTAACGATGTCCGAATGCTCCTACAGAGTGGGTAACTTCCTTATTGTGTGCAGCAAATGTTTTTCTCGGTGTGCCACTGTCTTTTTAACATTTGTTGCATTTTGCTGAAATGCAAAGATTGTCATTTCTGTATCCCGAGATCCACCCTTCTCTTTCCTTTGCCTTTTGTATCGAGTTTTCCCGCCCTCAGATGATGATTATGTTTCTGTGTGGAGAAATAAGCCAAGTAGTCACAGGTGTATGTGGTATTTTGGATTATCCTTCACACTACTTTTTGTCAATGCAGCTAATCTAGATTTTTACATGGTATTTTTCACAGCATTTCTTTAGTATTTACCTTTTCTGCCAATCTATAAAATTCTTTGTCGACCATTAGGCACAAAACCCATGAAATATTCTAAAAAGGTAGCTCCTGGCGTTTGGAAACCTGAAACATCAAGTTAGGACAACAGGACACCTGTGAGCTGTGTACATGGCCCTGTGCTGGCCGCCCCCGACGTGTGCTCGTGGTCTGACGCAGGACGGCCGAGCCTGCTCCCACACGCGGGAAGCTGCCAGACCACGGCCTCCACCCACTGACTCCCGACTGCCACACACCCACTCCCTGCTAAGCTGGGCTTCATGAGGAGCCTTTAGAAAAGGTGACCATGGCTGACCAGCTCACTTTGGGGTGTGTCCCCTGACCCACCACGTCCCAGTGGAGTGCTGTGGAGATGGAGAGATGCAGCACCTGCATTCTTTGTCACAGCCCCAGGGCAGCTGTCACGGGATGAGTGACCATCCCAAAGGCAGGAGAGCCCCCGGGGTCCTGGAAGGGTGACCTCCCTCTCGCCCCCTTCCCTCAGAGTAGAAACTCAGATCAGGTCAAAGGCAGCCGTCTCTAGTGCTGAGAAGTTTGTGTGTAGCCCTTGACAAGTGTGCCTTGTGCTTGAAATCCTCCAGAGAGGAAATCACTTCTCTCCAAGACAGCCCATTTCTCTTTTGAATGGTTTTAATTCTTCGTCATATGACTGAAAATATTTCCCTGTGACCTGTTGCTCCTAATTTTGTCCACTGAGAGCCCAAATCCAGTCTTCCTGTCCCTCTGCTACATCTTCAGCTTTTAACTTTTAAAGACTTTTTTTTCTTTTCAGTGAGTATGCAATTAAAGCTTGAATCGGAGTGGTTTACCTTCTGTGACTTGCAGATTTGATTAACGGATACCAGCAGCTTGGAAGACAGCTTAGCTTGCAGTTTTAGCCCTGAGGGGTTTCCTCTGCCAGCTCATTTTCATTGGTTCAAACAGAGTTCCCATCATCCCTAAGATAAAATTAGGGGGTTGTGTCGTATTCTAAGGAAAGATGTGATTCTTAAGAGAGATTGCGTTTTATTTCACTAGAGAACTTTGGTTCTCATCACCTTTCCCCCTGGCAGCTAAAGCAGCGGACGGGTACGTGAAGCCGCAGATCAAGCAAGTGGTCCCCGAGTAAGTGTCCAGGGCCAGCTCGGGCCTGCCCTCCCCCCACGACCCCCTCCGTGGGCCCATGAGACTGCGTCCTCTCCCCCCAGCCTGCCTCAGCCCCCGGGGCGGGACTGGCTGGTCTTGAGGGGCTGGCACCCAGGGCCCCTTCTGGCTGCGGGAACCCCAGATCCAGTGGGGGGCTCTGTCCTGCTACACCCGACACAGGCACAGTGAGGCCCCCTGAGCCCTCCCGGGGGGCTGCTCCCCAGGCGCTGAGGCCCCGCTCTGCGCCTCTGCAGGTTTGTAAACGCCTCTTCGGACTCTGCGGGGGGCAGCGCCACCTACATGGACCAGGCCCCCTCCCCAGCCGTGTGCAACCAGCCTCACTTTAACATGTACCCACAAAAGTAGGTGTTCTCCTGGGGCTGGGGGGGAGGGGAGGAGAAGGGGCCTGGCCTCAGGCGGGAAGCCAGGGGGGTGTGGACAAAGGGATCCCCAGCTCCCGTGGGCCAGAGACTACCGCAGGCTCTGGCACATGTCCGGGTGGGAAGGAGGGAAGGAGTGGTCATACCAGAAGATTCTGGCAGTCTGTCATCTGCCCCCCTCCCCCGAAATGGACATTCTTCCTGCTCTGTTTAAGGGTGTGTCTGGACATCTGTGTGAGGGACAGCTGGGGTGGGAATTTCAGTTGAGCCTTTCAAGCTAGCTCGCGAAGGACTCTCCCTCCTGTGTCCACATCAGAAATGGGTCCTTCTCCCTGATGCCCCCTGAGGCGGAGGGTACAGGCCGGCCCGGGCCAGTCACTTAATGGGGTGCGGTGCTTGGGTGGTGTCTGCTATTTGGCGTTGATCTCTGATACCCTCCTCTTTTCCCTTCGTCCCTTCTCTTTCCCTCCCAAGCACTGACCCTGTCCTTGACACCGACGGGGACTTTGATCTGGATGACACGATGGACGTGGCGCGGCGTGTGGAGGAACTGTTAGGCCGACCAATGGACAGTCAGTGGATCCCCCATGCGCAGTCGTGACCCCCCGCCTCCACCTTCAGCTTCTTCGTCCTCGCCAGAGGAGTTACTCTTGTGGATGTTTTAATTCCATGAATCGCTTGTCTTTGGAAACAATACTCATAATGTGAAGTGTTAATACTAGTTGTGACTTTAGTGTTTCTGTGCATGGTGGCACCAGTGAAGGGAGCGTGTGAGAGAGAATGTGAGTGTGTGTGTGTGCGCACATTGTATTCTCCCCCTCGCTGTCCAGAGTTCAGTTGTAGCAAAGGGGCCGCAGAGGCTGCGGCTTGGTGGTTTTAACCTTGTACGCAAAGATTTGTTCCTTGAACCCTGGAACTCGGCCATGTGCCTTGAGGGAACTGAACTTTGATGTGTGGCTGTTCAAGTAAGGGAAAGACAAAGCGGGGAGAAGGCACCTCCTCTCTGGGGAGACTTTGTCACTGTGCCTGCCAAGCCATTGATGTATAACGTGATTGTCTTCGCCTTTCTTCTCAAGTGTAGCAACTGCCTTTTGACAAAGCCAGCCCTCCCTCCTCCCCTCTCCCCCTTCCCCCATTTTCCTGGGAAGAGATGGGAAAGGGGAGACATTCCACAATTGTGGGAGCAAGAGGGGTCTTAAGTTTTCGAGTGGGTAGTGGCTTTTAAGTAACGCCCGTCTTAATGTTCTGTCCCACTCTGGAACCGCCCTCCGCGCCTCAGTGGGCACGTGCAAACGGCCTGCGAGCTGCAGGAAAGAGAGGGCCACCTCACCGGCGCCTGCGGCATCCATGTCCTCTGTGTCCGCCAGAGTGGCCTGCCCAGCCTTGACTCCAGGTACTGGGAGTGTCGATGGCCGCGGGACGGCTGGGGCCAGTCTGCCCGGCCGCCTGCACCAGCAGAGACACAGCAAGGCTTGGCGAAGGCTCAGGCTCACGGAGAACGCTTCTTAGCAGATGTTTAATGTGTTTTTGTCGCTCACCAGGACTGTTTTCCCCTCTGCCCTCGCGTGACACACGCACCCCTCCCACATCAGGTCCTTGCCGCCCAGCCAGGGCGCCCGGGCCCTCGCCTTCACCCGGCCCTCGCCGTCACGCGCCCTCTCAGGAGCCGGTGGCCGGGGCCCTGGGAACCGGGGCGGGGCGTGGCCCAGGCGCGGGGTGTGGGCGTTGGTAGTCTGGGGGAAACGCAGTCAGCAGTTTTGCCGGGAAGTTTGGGTAAACTGCAAACGCAGAACAAATACGCCTCCGCACAATTTTGCCCAGTTTCTTCCGCAGCTTCACACCTGAAGGAAGGAATGGCCGCGGCAGGCGAGCGGGAAGGGGAGGGGTCCGACAGCCCGTGGGGAGGCCGGCGAGGTCCCCCAGGCCCCTGTCCGGAGGAAGGCGAGACCGCACCCAGGAGAGAATGGCCCTAAAGACCGTATTTTTATATATATATATGAGTAAATAAACAGATATTTTTTTTTTACAAAAATAACAATTTATCAGTGTTTTGATGTTAAAGGAAAAGATTACTCTGTAGTAAATTATTTATTGGAAGGTGATTTTTTTAAAAAGCTGCTGTTTGCCCTGGCTTGGTTTCATACACTGATTTATTTTTCTATGCTGGGCAGTAGAATCTCTGCCCCTGAGGAGCAGGCTGACCCCGCCACGGATACCAGCATTGGCGTAGGATGCTGCTGAGCCCCCAGTGCCCCTGGGATGGAGGAAATGCCAGGTGTGAGGCGCGGGAGAGGAGGCCCGGCCGCGCAAACCCAGGCTTCCAGAGCCCGCCCGCAGCCCTGGCCTCGGAGGTCCGCACCAGCACGGGCCCACCCCGCA